ATACAAACAACAATAAGTGTTGGTGAGGATGTGGGGAAAAAGGCACACTCATACATTGCTGGTGGGGCTGCAAATATGGAAAACAGTATGGAGATTTCTTGGAAAATTGGGAATGGAACCACCATTTGACCTGGCTGTCCCTCTCCTTGGCCTATACCCAAGGGACTTAAAAACAGCATACTACAGGGACACTGTCACATCAATGTTTACAGCAGCACAATTCACAATAGCTAAACTGTGGAACCAACTTAGATGCCCTTCAATAGATGAATAGATTTTTTTTAAATGTGGCATATATACACAATGGAACATTACTCAGCAATAAAAGAGAATAATATCATGGCATTTGAAGGTAAATGGATGAAGTTAGAGAAGATAATGCTAAGTGAAGTTAGCCAATCCCCCCCAAAAAACAAATGCTGAATGTTTTCTCTGATGTAAGGAGGCTGACTCATAGTGGGGTAGGGAGGGGGAGCATGGGAGGAACAGATGAACTCTAGATAGGGCAGAGGGTTGGGTGGGGAAGGGAAGAGGGACATGGGGTTAGAAATGATGGTAGAATGTGATGGACATTATTATCCAAACTACATGTATGAAGACATAAATTGGTGTGAATATACTTTGTATACAACCAGAGTTGAAAAATTGTGCTGTGTATGTGTAATAAGAATTGTAATGCATTCTGCTGTCATATATAAATTAAAAAATTAACTAAAAAAAGAAAACTCTGTAGAAGAACAGACAAAGGAGAAGACAATCATATATTAGCATTAGAAAACAAATTTGTCCTTTTAAATTAGACTCCATATATAAGAGAGTTTATGTTACAATTTTCTTTGGGTTATTTCACTTGGCATAGATCTTTTTATTTATTTATTTATTTGCTTTTTGAGAGACCTTTATTTATTTTTTTATTTATATGTGGTGCTAAGAATCGAACCCAGTGCTTCACACATGACAAGCAAGTGTGCTACCACTAAGCAACAGCCACAGCCCTTGGCATAGATCTTCAAGTTTAATCCACATCATCACAAATGACAGTATCATCTTTTCAAAACCTAAACAATTCACACAGACATACCTACAATTTTTTTAATCCAGTCTTACTTCACTGTATATTGTGTTTGTTTCTACATATTAACTACTGTTAGGGAAGCCAAAATACGTATTGGAGTGCAGATATGCCCACAAGGGCTGTTTCATGTCCTTAATATACATATCTGGAAGAGAAATTGTGAAGTCATTGAATACCTCTACTTTCATTTCATTTGAGGAACCTGCACAGTCTTTTCCATGGTGTTTGTACCAATTTATATCCCCACCAATATTTTATATGTGCCTCCTTTTCTCCATATTCTGGGCAAACTATGGTAACACCTATAAATTCTGAGAAAATATTTGCTAAAATATTAATGTGCCTATGTGTACATGGAACTCATGCAAGTCAATATAGAAAAAAGAAGAACATCAAATAACCTGATTGATATGGGCCAGAAACTGAATAGACATTTTTTTAAAAAAGACATAAAATGGCTAACAGGCACTCAGCATTACTGATCACCAGGAATTGTAAATAAAAACCCTAATTTGGATCCTGTACCTCATTTATTTCACATAATAAAAATAAGTACCAACTACAGCAGGTAATTTCTATTCCACCACAGAAAACCCTGAGATGTCATGCATGGGCTGCCCAAACTCTCTTTCAGCAAACATTATTCTTTCTCAACTGCCAAGTCTAGAAAACTGGAATACAACTTAGAAATACATCCCCAGATGGGCAAGTGATTAAAGTAAACCCAATAAGAAGTACAATATAGGGCTGGGGCTATAGCTTAGTGGTAGAGTACTTGTCTCGCACATGTAAGGCACTAGGTTCAATCCTCAGCACCATATAAAAATAAATAAATAAAGGTATTAAATCCATCTACTACTAGAAAAATAAAAAAGAAGTACAATATATTAATAAACCTATAGGTAAAGAATTAGAATATATGAATGGAAGTATCACAATGACATTCATTGGAGACATTCTCATAAAGAAAAGCTCAGACCCCAGTGAATTGTACTATAATTGAATAAATTAATACCAATGCTTCAATGTTACCTCCAAAAAATACAGAAGACAATAAAATATTGAGTATTGTGGCTGGGGTGGACTTTTCGGAGATGTTGGTTAAATCATAGAAAACTTCAGTTAGATGGGGAAATTCAAAAGATCTATTGAACAATGTGGTGATGACAGGTGATAAGGATGCAATTTTTTTTTTCTTGAAAATCACCCAGAGAGTAGATTTTAGTGTTCTTAGCACAGAATTAACTATGTGAAGTAATGTATGATTAATAAGATTGTTTTAGCAATATTATAATATGATGGTATTATGTTTCATCATATTTTATATTGAAAATACACATTTTTGCATTCAATAATTTTTTTAATGGAAGAGAAAATTTACATATGTATTGTTTGCATAAACTACTACCCAGATACCATGCAATAATCTTTCTTAAAGTAAGCTATAAGCCTTTATCTTTTATAAATGTAGACATATATCTTCAAAAGTACGGGCAAGTTGAATGAAGACATAATAACTACAAGAAACCAAGCAAGATTATCTCATAAACACAAATGTGATTTAGAGAATAAAAGCAATATAACAAACTACCATAATGCCATAATGTAAAACAATTAATTTGACAGAGACTAACTGGATTTGTCTAAATGTAGACCAATCCAGGGTTCCTCCAGGATAAAATCTGTTGCACTTGAGAGCTACAGGAGGGCTTCTTAGACAATCTAAAAGGCATCCATAGAATCAAATAGGTGACAGTGTCACCGAAGGTAAAAGCTGGGTGTTTATCTCAGGGAATGATGAGACAAAAGAATGCTGACTTTGCTGTTTGTATTCATTATTTAACTGGAAGTTTGGATGTTGAACAATGAATAGAAATTATATTGAAAGCCTATGTAAAAATTTCTAAGGCATTCTTACACACGTGAGCACACAACACTAGATTCAATCAGCTCAGCAAAGCTGCAATTGACAAGACAAACACAAAAATAGAAGCTTTTTATAATGAAAACAGTCTGAAAAATGAAAATAAGAAGCAATTCTATTCAAATTTGTACAAAAAAATACATAGAAATAAATTTTACAACAGAGTGTTAAAACAGAAAGTTGAAAGTAATCAAAGAAGAGTTAAATAAATGGAAAGGTAGCTAATATTCAAGCACAAAAAGTTCAACACTCTTAAGATCACATTTTCCTTATTTATTGCATCCAATAAAATACAACAAATATGACAGTGTATCATTGTGCATCCCCATTCGAGCCGGGGATATAGCTCAGCTGGTAGAGGGCTTGTTATAACACCCTGGGTTCAATCCCCAGCACCACCAAAAAAAAAAAAAAGGTCCACGTGCTTGTCTTCTTACTAGATCCCTCCATCTCCATGAGCACAAAGACTAAGTTGCTGAAGGAGATACCATGGGGAGGAGAACCAAGGTGCCCCCTCAACAGCCAGTTCTCCCCCAGAAGCAGAGCTGCCTAGTCAACACCTAGAACAGAGGTCTGAGTGGGCCCCACTGCACCAAGATTGCTGACCAGCCCACTCATGAGCTGGTAAGTTGTGGAGTGATTAGCAGCCTGACACATAGACCTAGTGCAGATGGGAGGCCAGGGTTCAACAACACATCCATTGGGAGTTACCTTGTTGTAGGGGACAGATGAGGCAAGGCACCAAAGATAGCAGGTAACAGTTTTATTTGGCTGCAGCCAGGTTCAGAGGGCACAGCTTTTGCTGTAATCAATCAATCCACATGAACCCTGAGTTCAGGAAGTTTCAGAGTTTAATACCCAGCATGTAAGGAGAGGGGCTCAGAAGCTCACAGTCTGCAGAAGTTCACATAAAAGCAGCTTTTTCTTTCACTGTTCTAGGCAAGTTAACCTTTCAAGGACAATACCTGAGAAGGGGGAAGCTTCTACTCTCCTTTCTTTCCTCCTCCTGTCTGCTGTTACCATGGAGCCCAACTGGTAACTTTCTTATCTTAGAAATGTAAACATCTCTGTGAAGCCCAGCTCAAGGCCAGAGGCACATTTCTACAAACTACTATACTGGTTGTTTGTGAAAAACTAGTAAGGGGTGTCTAGCACCTGGAGTGCTGGTATCTTCTGGGCCAGTGGCCAAGTAAATCAGGGCAACACGAAAATAGGAAGTTTATCTACATTGGACTCTTGCAGAGACTCTTTTGCTGACAGTACTAAAATCAGCCATGGTGAAGATTTCTGGAAAGGCCCAGTTAAGACTTTTCTGTGGAGAAAGGAGGTGCTACTACAGTATTATAAAGACAAGTAGTTAATTAATAGTGACACCTCATTATACTGTTTGCAGAGTAAAACAATGATATTTTACATATACTACATTAAAGACATCACAATCAACCTCACCTGTGACTTTCTCTCTTATCTTTTGAATCATCTTGTTTTTGCTGGGCTGGAACCCAGGGCCTCAATTTGCCAGAAAAGAACTGTATGGCTGAGCTGTGCTGGGTTGTTTCACCTGTTTCTTTGAACGTTTTCATGTGGCCTTCAGAAAAGTCAAAGGTACTTACTGAGCACTTCATTTCAGTTGAACCGGCCTCCTTTCCAGGGCTCAGGCCCACCCTGAACCCAGGGCAGGAAGGTCATGTGACTTAAGGTCTTAACATGCTCCTCTGTGGCTCCCTGTGCACAGCACGGAATTCTATACACGTACCTCCCCGGGTTACCCGCGGGTCCTGCCCCAGCCCAGGAGGAGGTGCTGCCTGAAAAAGGGCTGGGCCTATTTCATCAGGGATTGGTTACTTCAGCTGTCCCTCAGGCGGGGGCGGAGCCTGAAGGCTGTTTATTAGGCGGCGCTATCCAATCAGGCACGCAGCCGGGGCAGGGGCGGGCTTCCGCAGACTCGTTCTTTCCTTGCTGGGCCGCCCGGGTCTTTTTTCCTCAGGTCGCGGGTCTTGGGCACGGATTCTGGGCGACTCTGCGTAGCCAGAGAGCCCCATGAGCTCGGGTGGCCGAAGTTCCTTCGTGAGGACGGCGGGTGACCCCGGAGGCCCAAACGGAGAGTGTGCGGCCAGGGCTGGCGGGACCCGGCGGGCGGGTGAGCGTCGGAGCGGGTTGAGTCCCGGCCGGCGGGTGGCCCTGGGGCCTGTCCCCTGGTCCCGCCGGGTTGGCTGGGAGGAGGGTTCCCGGTCAGCTGCAGAGCGTGTTAACGAGCCCTCTCGGATGGCCCTGGACCCCGGACCCTGGGTCCCTCGGGACGGACTGGGAACGGGTCCCCGGGGTTCGCTGCGGAGGATGGCATTGTCCGCGCTGGCCTGTGGCCCTGGGCTCTTTCCCCTGGTCCCGCGGGGAGTGCTGGCCAGCGGGTCCCCCGGTCAGCTGCAGACCGTGGCCTCAGTGGCCAGGACCCTCATGTGCCTCCTGGTGGGTGCTTGGGTGAGAGTGAGAACCAGGGTCCCGCAGGAGGGAACATTCTCCGCTGGGGAGGGAAGAGCACAGTAACCCTCCAGAACCAAATGTCCAGCTGCTCAGGTTCCCTCATTCCTAGGGAGCCACCTGGGCTGCATCCACTGTGAGAGTGTCCCTGGGCTTGGGGATGTGTTTAGCCACCAAGCGGGGTTCCTGGAGAACTGGGGGTGACAGGCTGCTTCTCTGCGCAGGTGCTTGTTGTTTCCTTTATCACATCTCGCTGTCAAGAAATTCCAGTTTGTCCCCAAGTATGTAAGAAGCTCATTCCTTGATTGAATTCCTTGATTTTATGTTATTGGTTAACGTTTAATTGGATACAGTAATGTGATGTAAAGAAGAAGAGAGTTCTTGAAATAATTTTTTTAATGCTCAGTTTAGTGGGAATCTAAACACCTGTATAACCCGCCCAAAGAGAGGTGAATGGGCCCTGGTCAGGCTGCCTCTCCCTGCTCTCCCCTACCTGTGCCTGGAGGGGAGCACAGTTCCATTTTTTTTCTGTCATTCCTTGTACTTGAGCCATCTGTGAGGAGGCAGAATTTTAGTTGGTGCTTCTTATTTGAGTTTTCAATAACTTAATGTTGAAAGCACAAAATGAGGGGTGCAGACCTCAAAGATTCAGGAAGCTGCTTATTTCTCATCAGGACCTCAGACACCTGGGGACTTATTTTCTGAATATGTAAATGGCCATCAGTTACAGAGGGGATTTTGGTTTTATAGGGTACAGTTGTGCTGATTTCACCATTGGAACTTGTGAGTGTGCTGTTTGGACAGTCAGGGGTAGTTATGTAGGTGAAAACTTTTAACTCAGGAGGGCAGCTGTAAAAGGTTGAGACTCATTGCTACTAAGAGAGAGAGGAGTCCAGATTGTGAAGGATGGGTATTTCTTTTTCTGGAATTATTGTCTCCCAGAGATTCAGTATTTCTCTCCTTCCTTTGGGGGCCCATGTTATCAGGAAAGGATTTACTGGAAGGTTAATGGTGGGCTAGTTTCCCCTCACTCCTACCAAGCTGCCTTGTGTCTCCACTTTTCTTTGAGGGCTGTTTTGTAGGATTATTATTTTCCATAACTCTTCAAATGTTCCGATTAGTACTCTATCACTGTGGTGCTGTAATGTGAATTGTTGGTTCCTCTGCCTCAGTTGCTTAGACTCGTATTACTATCTGTAGGCCTCCTGGTTCCCTTCCCTATTCCTGCTTCAGGAACACCACTTGTTTCTAGTTTAATTTTTTAATTTTACATTCTTGACCATTTCATTCTCTTTTAAAATTTGGTCCTCAAGTGCCCACACTTCATAAGTTTTGTACATGTTGGGAAATCATTGTTAGGTTATAGATTGTGGATTAATTCAAATTACTAGAAAATTTCAGTGCAGTGTATATACACATGTGTATTCATCCCTTATACTATCTATCCTTGTTTACTTCCATGTGGCTATATATTGCTTTTTGCTGAATACCATTTATGAGAACGTTTTTCTCTGTATTTCCATGTTCCTCTGGGCACAGAGTCACAAGCATTTGTGAGAAATTACATATCTGGTGTCCAAGGCAGCCAACCCTGAGCTCAGAGAACCCATATTCATTGAAAAGGTGTTCAGTCATTTTCTCATATTTAATTCATTTGTGAAGTTATTTTTTGTTTTGTCTTAACATACCCTATACATGAATTCTTTTTATTTTATTTTTTTTGTAAAGAGTGCAGACATTTCCTCTGAGGGAGGGCAGCCTTCTTTGACCCTATCGCAGTTTGATGGAGGAGTCTCTTTTTTAATAGATGTGAGTTTATCACTTTCTTCCTTTGGAATTTTTTTTATCTTCTCACATAAGAAAACCTATAGGATGGGGACATGTTGGGCTCCCAGAGGTAAATCCTTAGGTGGACCCTCCTGGCCATGGAGTTCCAACCCCTCTGTGGTACATTTCAGCAGTCAAAGTCTGGCGCCCAAATAAGTTTTGTAAGTTTGGAAATATGTATATACCTCTGCAAGTGGGTTTTCATTGAACTGTGGATGAAGCAGGCACCGTTCCTCAACTAGTTCATGTGGTTGCTTTTCCTCTTAAATTATTTTTATTGCCATATAATTAAGTTTTCATGTATTTAATAACTATATTCCTTTGTTGTCTTTTCATTTTCTTGTCTGGAAATGAGTTGACTGAGAGTTAAAGTGTGAGGAGGCCTTGGCATACAGCCCCGACCTCTTCCCCAAGATGGATGCCTGTATCCCTCCTTTCCAGTCTATTGTGACCGGGCACCCACCTTCTCTGAGCTCAGGGTTGGCAGCCTTGGACACCAAATATGTAATTTCTCACAAGTGCTTGTGACTCTGTGCCCAAAGGAACAGGAAGACAACAGGGCCTGCTTGAGAAAGGGCTTAAGTACCTGAGGAGAAATGTCCCCCTGGTGGGGCAGGTCCCTTGCAGGGAGAAAGTCTTGCCTGAAAAGGGCTTTTGCGTACTACCTGTCCTTCTGGCCTCATTTGTCCGAGAGTCTGATTTATCTCCTGTCACTCAGAGTCCCAGGGTGTACATATGTGGCTGGGGTGAGAGAAGGGTCTTGTGGAGTCCTGGCCAGTGAGGAGGCAGCTGGTGGGAGGGGGTGGCCTTCCACAGTCTAACAGGACTTTCTCTCTCACCCTGTACAGCTCAGAATCCATCTCCAGGACTGTGTCTTCTCTGCTGTGTGAGGCCCAAGTGGCTCTGGCTCAGGTCTATCTCTTTTTGACCTGCAGGTGCTATGAGGTCCACAGGAAGGATGTCAGGACTCCCCAGAAGGCAGGAAATGGTGAGTGTGTGGGGCCAGGAGTGCTCAGGGAAGTGGGATGGTTAGAACTGGTGGGAACCAGCTGTGGCTGGTCTCTGGCCTCCTACTGTCAGTTCCAGAGTTCAGCCAACCCAGACCTGAGTCATGGTGTGGGCTGGTGCAGGTAACAGAATCCTCTCTGCACATCTGGACCCCAGCCCTAGGCCCTCAGTGTGCAGTGAAGGCAGAGGGCCTCAGGGATCCTGCCTCAGGTGTGGGGCTCCTTCCTATGTGGAGGATTCTGGTCTGAGGGGGTCCATGTCCCTCCTTCTTCTGAAGAGTCATCTGGTTTTCCCCCACCTAGCCATTGTTAGGGCGCTCATTAGATCCTTTAAATTCGAGCTCTCTTCACATTTTCAGACTTTGACTCCCCACTCAAGTTCCCAGAATTCTCCCCTCTTTGCTCCTTATACTGCATTCAGTGGGCACAGCCTCGTAGATTTGTTTCTGTTTCTGAATTTGTCATGTAGTGAGAGCAGAAAAGAGTTACCTGGAACTCCACTGTTAAAACTCTGTTCCTCTCTTCCTTCCTTTACCTTCCCTAGGCATAGACGCCTTATCAGAATAACTTGTGCAGAGGTTTCCATTGGACCCTCCAGGGTCCTGTGTCCTCAGCCACTGTCCTTTCCTGTGGCTGCCACTTGTTGCAGCCAGTGGAGGCTGCCCAGTGTCCTGCAAAGGGTAGGCAATTTCAGGCCCTTGGTCAGCAGAGCCTGAGGTGTGGGATGCAGCCTCTCAGGGGAGCAGCTGGAGGTCCTGGGGCTGAGGAATCTCCTGGAATAGGCCTCATCTAGAGACCTGTCATCTTGGGACATTGTTTTATCCACTCCCTGTTCCCATTTCTCTGATATCAGTGGACAGTTAGCCTGGAGATGCTGGTGCTGCGGGGCCAGGTCAGCAGTGATTCTTGCCCTTGCATTCTCTCACAGTTGTGAAGGAGGAAAATTCTCCCAGAGCATAGGACCACCCACCCCAGTGCAGTGCTGTGCAAACCTGAAAAGCCTGGAGTCATGGTCTGGGTCTCCTGGGAGGGTAATCATGGAGTGTTTCAGTGAGCTGGACCAGGTAGGAGGATGCCCAGCTCACAGGGACCTTACCTGCTCCTTGAGCCTGACATGTCTGCTCCCTCAGCACAAGCCCTTTATTTATCACTTTGAAATGATCTGCCCCCTTATATGACAGCCAGATTTCCTTAAATGTGAATGTATTTATTTAGAGCTGAGCAAGGTAGAATATTTTAAAAGAGGTAAAAAAGAAATGAATTTAAAAAGAAAACAGATTTTTTTTGGTATATGATAAAAATTCTTAAGTTACCTTTCTGATTTGTTTAGAACATGTAGAACATTTCTGAGACCTCACTTTTTTTTTTTTTTTTTTTTTAATTTGATTTCAAATGGAGTTACATATGGTAGGTTCATGAATGCTACTTTAGTGGCTGGGGTTGTGGCTTAGTGGCAGAGTGCTTGCCTAGCATGTGTGAAGCACTTGGTCTCTCAACACTGCATATAAATAAATTAAAAAAAGGTTCATTGACATCTAAAAAAATAAAAGAATGCTACTTTAGAAAATGAAAAATCCGTGTGTCATTGTTGCTGTAGAAAATGTTTCATTTTCACAAAAGGTGTGGTAGGTAAATTTATACTCTGTGGATTCATGAGAATATTAGTTCCCTTGTATAATGAAGAACTTGTCACAATGGATAACTTCTCTTTGCTTCCTGTTACCTGAACTTGGAAGATTACTACTGAATTTCATGGGACAAATATGGCAATTGCCACAAATATCAAAGTATGGTCCTTTGTTTATGAATTGATGTAAGTGTCCTGGAAATTGTTATTAAATGTCATCTCTGTTGGCTGAATAAAACATGTTTTCGTGAGATTATTATAATTCATGAGCATCTTTCATGATCTTATCTGATTCCAAATGCCCCCTCCTAATGCCACCCAATGGGTGTTCACCTTTCACCTTGTGAATCTTGGGGTTGAAATAGACCTTCAATCTATAATATTACCTGATGGTATTCTCTACAAGGTGTTGGAGACTCCTGGACATTTTGGCTACTCTTAGATATTTGTCTACTATTTCCACTTGTAGAAATAGTTTTCTGAATTTCCTCAACAAAGACATCCTGGTCTTGGATTTCATAGAATTTAAGAAATGAAGCTAGAGAATCAATTGAGCTGCTTCTTTCTCCACGATTTAATAAAATTGCATGCAATTCATTTCTCCTTTTTTCATTATTGCTTAGTTATATTTTTGCCAGGGTGCTGAATCCAGCCATCAGTGGTCCACGCAGGTTCCCTGGCTTGGCTGCCAGAAACTGTTAACATTGCAATATGTCATATAGGCTACACCTTGAGGAATGAGTTGGAAGTGTTACCTGCTTCCTCTTAGAGGGGATTAAGGGTAGTTTTCATTGCCTCCTTAGTGTGGTGCAGAATCCACCATGACACCCCTGGGCCATGCCTTTCCTCTGATGACAGTTATTATCACTTCATTAACTTGTTCATGTTGTGTATTTCTCTTTTTGTGTGAGTTATGGTAGATTGTTTTCCTCCTGGAGTTGGTCCAGTTCATCTGAATTCTCAAATTGTGTCCGACAGTTATTCATAATATTCCTTTATGGTTCTTTTACTCCCCCTGAATAATGGTGTCTTTCATTTCTACTGAGTAAGTTTTGTTTCTGTTTTCTTAGTTGTGCTATCTGTTACAAGCATGTCCACAAAAAAACCTGCTTTTTATTTTTTATTTTTTAATAGTTATAGATGGACAGCATGCCTTTATGCATGGGCTCTCTCTCATCTAGTGAGGAGGTCCATGGAATAGGTAGAGGAGAGTGTGGCTGCAGAGTCATGAATCAAGACCTCCAGAGATCTCACAGGAAGCAGGTCTGATTTGATTGTGCAGTTACCATGTATATATACGTGGCCAGTAGTTAAGCAGATTTTAGGCAGCCACCAATACAATTTCTGGCCAACTGTCCTTGTAGCAACCGATTAAGGAGTGGCCGTAGAGCAGCACTGGGACCACAACATGTGACCTCATGCTCAGGGTGCTGTGCCTACGGAGTAAGCAGCCTGCCTCTCAAGCGCCCTTAACATACGCCATATATACAGTACTCTATGCACCTGTTCCCATACCTGTATTTGTTTAGTTTTTTATGCTGTGCTAAGGATTGAACCCAGTGCCTCACACATGCTAGGCAAGTGCTCTGCCTTTGAGCTACAGCCTCAGCCCTGAAGAGCTTGCTTTTGAGTTGATTCTCTATTGATTTCCTATCACAGTTTCATATGCTAGCATCGGATGTAGGTTCTCCTTGCTGTTTGTTCTTTAGTTCCTGAAGTGGAAGGATGAAGGGTTGATTTTTATTCTTTTGTAATGTAAGCCTTCAGCACCTCTAATTCTCCCTAAGCCCTGCCTGTGCTCTGTTCCACAAAGTTTCCTAAGATGCAGTTTCAGTTCTTTTCCTTTGAAATATTCAGACTGATCCTGAGACACCCTTGACCCATGTGCTGTTTAGAACTTTGGGATTTGACCTGCAGATATCTGGAGGTCACCCAGCTGTGTTTCTGTTACTAACGCCATGGTAATTCCAGTGTTCCTGGTGCCATGTTGGGATTTGGTAGCCTTCTGCACTAACGCCTGTCGTGGCTGAAGGTGGCTGGTCGTGGATACTTCCCTGTGATGTTGAGAAGGATGTGTGCTGGGCTGCTGTTGGCTAAGTGCCCTAGAGGTACCTGTGGTGGGTGTGCTGTTGAGCTAGATACCACGACAGCTCTTCTGTGTGCTCCAGCTGTCGCTCACTGTCAGGCGATTGCCTCTGACTCCTCTGTCACTGGATTTCACCGCGTGTCCATGTGAGTCTCTCAGTTGTTCATCAGGTGTTTTGACCTGTTGTAGGTCGTACATCTTAAAAGATTCCGGCAGTTGGTTTTAAGTCTTATTACTGAGTCTAGTGTCCATGTTTTCTCAAAAAATAACTGAAGCATTTTTTCCCCATTGGTGAGATGTACTTTGCTCTTTATGTGTATTCCTTATTTTGTTGCTTTTGCAAAGTGGGTATTTGAATATTATAATCGTTTCTCCTCTGAAATCAGTTTTTCCCTCTATTCAGAGTTTGCCCTTGTTTGTTGAAGACTGTAGCCATTGTGTGTAGTGACTTTCCAGAGTATGTTTGGAGACAGTAGTTTAGTTGCTCGGTGTACTCAGAGGGTCTCTCTTAGCTTGTGTTGAGCTTGAGTTTTAATGGAGTTCCATGAGGAAATAGCTGGAAAGAAAACAAGAAACAGCAAGAGCTCAGCTCCTCCAGGGCCTGTGGATAGTGGAGCTTGGGCTGCTGCTTTAACACATGGTCATGCTGTTTAAAACCCCTTCAGCCTCAGTTCTCTGCAGACCTGAGCCTGGAGAGCAGCCTGTGGTCAGCATATGGGTCTTGGTCCTCTCTGAAAGGATTTCTCTTGGCCTGGGTGGCCTTCCACCCTGATATACCAGGGTGCTGTGAACACTCATTTCTTCTTTTTTTCTGTAGTAGGGATTGAATACAGGGACAATCTACTACTGAGCTACATTCTCCAATCTTTTTTTCATTTTGAAGCAGGTTCTTGCTATGTAGCCCTGCATAGATTGCGACATGTTATCCTCCCACCTCAGCTTCCTAAATCCCTGCGATTTGAGCCACTGTGCCCATCTGAATACTCTAGTTTTTTGTTTTTGTTTTTGGATACCAGGGATTGAACATGGTAGTGCCAAACCACTGAGCAACATCCTCAGCTCTTTTTATTTTTTAGAGACAGGTTCTCGCTAAGTTGCTTAGGACCTAGCCAAGTTCTAAGGCTGGCTTTGACTTGTGATCTTCCTACATCAGCCTCCTAAATCACTAGGATTTGAGCTGTTCACCACCACATCTTGCCTGAATATTGTAATTTCTGAGAATATATTTTATTGTACTTTTCTCTCTCACACTTCACATTGTGATTTTT